CCTTGCTCCTTATATATGAGGGTTCGGTGGCAGTTCGGTGTGAGCTCATGCCATGCGACAAGGGCCATGGTCATGAGTCGCTAGAACCGTATCCTAGTGGTATCGGGTCACTGTTCGTAGAGCGTTGTTACACTACCCCCCTCCTTGTAGACAGATAGTCCCATATCTGTGACTCGGGTTCGAAACGGAACGTATACGGAGGTGGCGAGTGAAAAAGAATTGGCAGTAGGTAACGTGAACCTACTTTCACTTTGTGTCGTCATATACTCAGTTGTGTCGCCAGACAACGGAGTATATGACGACACAAAGTGAAAGTAGGTTCACGTTACCTACTGCCAATTCTTTTTCACTCGCCACCTCCGTATACGTTCCGTTTCGAACCCGAGTCACAGATATGGGACTATCTGTCTACAAGGAGGGGGGTAGTGTAACAACGCTCTACGAACAGTGACCCGATACCACTAGGATACGGTTCTAGCGACTCATGACCATGGCCCTTGTCGCATGGCATGAGCTCACACCGAACTGCCACCGAACCCTCATATATAAGGAGCAAGGAACTGTAGCATTGTAGAGTAGTTTTTCTGTATCCTTTCGTACAAGACCTATAGGTGTAGAGAATATATCCTGGTGTTCTTATCATCCCAGCACTCCCATATGCCTCGTAGCGGATTCACACCTATTCCGGATATCTCTCTTCTTGCCTGCGTCGTTACATCGCACAGCCAGGGCGCGAATCCTCGCGAATCTAGGTTAAGGATATATTAGACAATTGTTTACTCTTCTGTAAGCGTAAGTTTGTAGCTGTTAGGTGCTTATTTAAGGATAAATAGGGCTCCTCTAACGCGTGTAGAGAGAATGCGTTGTTTAACGTTAAAAGCGCGCGCAGCTACTCTCTAGCTTTTAAATTGTTTTAAATAAAGAGCTTTAAGGGCAAGGTTAACTCTACCTTCGTGTTCACATAGTAACGCGTTATGTAGTTAAGGCATGTTGCAACAAAGAGGGTGTTCGTTGTGCCAAGACATTTTGAGCTGTTGGGTGGTTTGAGCTGTTGGGTGGTGGAATACGTTAGTTATTAAGATGCAGGGGTATGGTTTCTGTGTTTTTTGGTGGGATTTTAAGTGACCAGTTCGGTGATATGACCGGCTCGGTGATAGAGTACGTTATACATAGTGTTAATTATTTAATATTGTTATAATATTACTAAGGTGTTTGTAGCACTATGCAATAGAAGATTAAACAACAACAGAACCTTACCCCCTACAAAGAGCTAGAGCTTGTTAATTACATAGATTAACTCTGCAGAGAGCACCTTCCGCCTACGCGCGATATAGTTCAATATTTTGCCTCTATTATCTGCGGATTTAAGGTTAGGAAGACCTAGGTTACACGCTTTGTCTAGTGGCATCACGAAGCGCTTACTCCACAGTGGACCTCCGCCATGGCCTCTAAACGTCACGCCGCTGATTCCTATAGTAAGTACAGCTTGTACTTTAACATGTTAGAGCTTAAAATAAGCAAGAAGGGTATAGAGCCTGAGCACACATACAATATAGATAAGAAGGGCTTCATAATTAGGAAGATTGGCAAGCAGAAACAAGTGTTCAGCAGGACAAGCTACAGCAATAAGCGCTTCTGGCAGGCCTTAGAGGATAGCAACAGAGAGTGGGTAACGCTTATAGCGTGCGTTGGGGCTTCTGGAGTCGCACTTCCTCCAGGCCTGATTATGGCTGGAGACTCCGGCAACGTCCAAGACGCATGGGTGCGAGATATCAAGCAATTGAAGCATCGCTGCTTCGTCACAGTCACCCCAAGTGGCTAGAGCAACAACGACGCTGGCCTTAGATAGCTACAACAAGTCTTTAACAAAGAAACCAAGGCCTTAGCTTGTCGCAAGTGGCAATTGCTTATTATCAACAGTCACAGCAGCTATATAAGCTAATTATTTCTGACGTACTGTCATTAACATAAGATACTTGTGGCGATATTTCCTCCCCACAGTACTCACACGCTCCAGCTAGCTAACGTTGTCCTCTTCAAGCCGCTATTAACAGCGTACTCACAGCAATTGACACAGCAGACTTAGCGCTCTAAAGGCTTGTTGCTGGTAAAGAAAGGCAGCTTCTTCTCGTTATTTTGGCCTGCTTAGCTGCAATTATTTACTAAAGACAATATACTTAAAGCCTTTAAGGCAATAGGCCTTTAGCCGCTTAATCGCGATAAAGTACTCAAGTGCTTCCCCAAAGGAGCTGCCACTCTGTCCACCCCTCCACTGCCTAAGGCAGGTACAACAGCACGCAAAATAATAAGGAAGTTAGACTCTGTTGTAGGTAATAGGTACTCTAATAAAGTAAGAGCTCTCTGCTATATGGGTGATTTTCGAAATACCATGTACATCATGTGATTTAGCGCGCGGAAGATGCGGACGATGTCAATGTTGCTGTCTTAGCTAAATTTAGCGTTTAACAACAACAGAGCTGGCTGCTACTCCTTCTAGGATAATTAAAGCTTAATATTATTAGTATCTTAACTTCTTGTAGTGTTGTAATGCCTACAAGAAGGTTAACTTAGCAGAAAATTAATAAGCCAGCACCTAAATTAACACAGGAGGCACCCGCACCTACAACACTAGCAGTATCTAGTTAGTGTTAGCACATTGCAACTTAGCTATTTAGAAGTTGTTGTACAAAGCCTAATTATTAGAGTGTCTTTTAATTTAACTTTTTAGCTGCTTAAAGCTCTTCTTAATTAGATTGTAGTAGGCTGGCGGAATGGGTATACTCCAACGTCCTTCGTGGGTACCCCCCAAAACCTTATCAATAATACATGGATTCTAGCAGACTAGGGCTGAAAAGAAAGAGAAAAACCACCTCTACATTTTTGTAGTAGAAGGTTTTGTTATAACTATTAAACTGCACAAGCTAGAGGCTAGAAAACGTTAAAAAAGGGGGGGTACCTAGCAAGCATACCTATTAATAGGTATACTTTGCTAGGTAGTGTTAATAACTTAGCTAATACTAGGCAGAATAAGCTAATTCTTTTTTTATTAGAAGGCGCAATACTAGGCGCTTCTATTAAATAATAGATTATGTAAGCGTATCTCTGCTAGTTAAGAAGCTATAAGCCAAAACGTAAAAAAGCATACCCTACCCATCCGCCAGCCTAGTTCCGAGCCTGTACGGCTATCACAAAATTGAGTCTGTAGAGCCACCTACAATAGTTATTATTGTGAGATATTTTGATAGAACATTCTATAGACCTATGCGACAAAGTTCCTAATACAAAGTTACTAGTATTTTGTGGCAGTGCAGCTACTCTAGGTAATAATAGTTAGGTGTGGCAGAGGAGGTGTTGCAGGCTTAGGATAACTACAAGCACCTACAGCACAACGCAGAGGCTTCTGTTTAACTACAGAAGCTTTTAAGGATATACAATTGCCTCTTTAAGATAATTTAAGAGCTTTTTTAGCGTTACAAGCTTCCTTATCCTTACGTCTCTGCTCTTTGTGAGCATTAATAGCTGCTTGCTCCTTTACCTTAGCCTAGTCTCTTGCTTTTTTCTTCTCTGCCTGCTGCTCACGCTTTTCTCTTGCTATCTTCTTATTGTAGATTTTATTAGCAGCAGCTTGCTCCTTTGTCTCTGCCTTTTTTTGCTCCTTCTCTTGCCTCTCGTGGTCTGCAACAGCTATGCGAGCGCGCGCCTCCTGGAAGGACTGAGGAGACCACATTATTGCACCTCTATAATACTCTTAGTGTTGTTGCAGGTCTAGTTGCCTGTTAGGTTGCTTCTTATGCTTCCTGTTTTAGTATAGCTTCTTGCGCAGGCTATCTACTTCAACTTAAAGTAACTCTACTTAAGATAATAGATAGTAGATAGTTTAACCTAGCTTCTGCACGCCTACACTGCGCGAATCCCTTACCTCTGCCTGAAGTGTGGTACAAGCCTTAAGCCAATTCTCTGCAGAATAAGCTGTAGAACTAGAGGAGACTAATCCTAAGTTGTCAGGGGTAGTGTAGCAGAACCTATTAAGTATAACGTTGGGATTTACAGGCAATATACTAGTAGCTGTGAAGGCCTTTAATATAAGGCTTTCTTTAAATGTGTTCACCTAGGCAGGCTAGAACAGGGCATAGAAGTTACCTTTAGACAGTGGCGCAAGGCCTTAAGATACCTAAAGGTGGTTGTTAAGTTTATAGGTGTAGTTAGAGGAGAGAGGTTTAAAGCAGACTACGTCTAATAGCTGCAGAGTCTAGGTACTGGAAGGAGGTAACACTACTAATATAATCTATTTCTAGTAACAGTAATTAATAAAATCTAGCGTTAGATAACTCCTGTGGCTATCTATAATTAAGAGGCAGTACCTTAACTGCGCCTTAGGCTTTAAATAACAGTCAAACACCTGCTTAAGCTAAGCTAGTCTAATATTGTTATTTGTCTATCCTGAGGGCGATGAGGCAACATGGGTTGAGTGCTTTTCTGCCTGGATTTCTACCACCCAGCGGCTCTGGAGGGTGGAGTTTTTTGACGCAAAGATGATGCCAGGTGGAAGAGCAGTACCATCAGCGCAGATCGCAGCTAGGAGGCTCACCCACTCACGCGAGCCATCTTGACGAGCCTGCCTGACCTCCTTCTTCTCATATTAACGCTTACTAAACACCTGTTTTGTTCTACCTAGCACTCTAATTGCAAAGCCCTTCTTATCTATATTGTACGTGTTTTCTAGCGCAATATTATATTAAGTAATCTTCTGCTGCAGAAGCTTAAAGTATAACTTGTAATTGTACGCTAACTCAGCGTTATAGTAATTAGAGTCCATGCCAGTGGCCCATTGGGACGTGAGCTAATTCTGATGACAGTGCAGGAAGCGCTAAACCCAGCTATTAGAGCAGGGCTGTAAGGCAACAGAGGATGCGAAATTCTGTAACGTACTTTACAAGCGAGCGACGCGTACAAGCGAGCGACGCGCCCCACCAACTTTGCCTGCCTCTTCCATCTCAACGTATAATGGCTCCACGCAACGTTACTCAATTGCCTTTAAATGAAGCAGATATTCAGCTTGCTATCTCATCTATCAACACTAAACAGATCCAGGGCAATTGTCCTGCTGCCACGATCTACAACGTTCCTGAAGCAACGCTCCGCCACCAACGCGCTGGCAGGCCCTCACGACGCGATTGCCAGCCCAACTTAAAGAAGCTTACCCAGCGCGAGGAGGAGGTGATCACAAGCTATATACTGGATCTAGATCAACGTGGATTTGCGCCTACGTACGCAGCTGTACGTGATATGGCTGATAAGCTGCTAGCTGCGCGCAGCGCAGGTCACGTCGGCGTCCACTGGCCACGCAACTTTGTCAAGCGTACAGACTCTCTCACAACGCGTTTCAACAGAGCGTACGACAGGCAGAGAGCTCTATGCAAGGACCCTGTTCTTATCCAAGACTAGTTCAGGCTCATAGAGCAGACGAAGGCCAAGTACAGCATCTGTGATGAGGACGTCTATAACTTTGATGAGGCTGGCTTTATAATAGGCAAGATCACAACTCAGCTTGTCGTGACTGGATTAGAGAGGAGAGGCCGGCCAAAGGCTGTTCAGCCTGGTAATCGCGAGTGGGTAACAGCTATCGCTGTGATCAACGCTGCTGGCTGGATAATCCCACCCTTCCTTATCTTTGCTGGCCAATATCACCTATCTGCCTGGTACGAGCAGGCAGAGATCCCACGCGACTAGGTAATTGCAGTCAGCAACAATGGCTGGACAAATAACAAGCTTGGAGTTGAGTGGCTAAAGCACTTTCACGCCCATACTAAGACTCGTTGCGTAGGTGCACGTTGCCTGCTTATCCTTGATGGCCACGAGAGCCACCACTCTCTTGAATTTCAAGAGCTCTGCAAGGAGAACAATATCTGCACGCTCTGCATGCCACCTTACTCATCTCACCTGCTGCAGCCACTTGACGTTGGCTGCTTCTTGCCGTTAAAGCGCGCGTACAGCCGTAAGATTGAGGCTCTGATCCGCCACCACATCAACCACATCACCAAGCTTGAATTTCTGCCAGCGTTCAAGGCAGCCTTTGATCGCGCGTTCACAACAGCCAATATCTGCTCAGCCTTCCAAGGCGCAGGCCTTGTCCCTCTCCATCCTGACGTTGTTTTGTCAAAGCTAGACGTGAAGCTGCGCACGCCTCCTCTAGCTGCTCTGCCAGAGGCTCTCTGGGAGGCTCGTACGCCAAGCAACGTACGTGAGCTTGAGGCTCAATCAACGTTAATTCGTGAGCGCGTAAGAAAGCACAGGAGCTCCTCACCTGCCTCAATTATTGAAGCGATTGATCAGCTTAAGAAAGGAGCTGAGGTGATGATGCTCTCTGCTGAGCTTATGCGCGATCGGATAGCCAGCCTAGAGAGTGCCAATGAGGCAGCGTCAGAGCGAAAAAAACGCAAGAAAAAGCAACTCCAGAAGCGTGGAGTCTTAACAAAGGGAGCTGGAGAGGATATACTTGCTTAACGTGAGGCTGATCAGCAGATTGCGCGTGAAGAGCGTCACGGAGGAGAGCAATCAGGCCTCAGCCGCCAGGCTCTGGCGCGCTGCACGAGGTGCAGAGAGACTGGCCACAACTCACGTACGTGCAAAAAGGACTCTATAGATACTTCTTAATCTGCTATATAAATATCTATATATAACTATATATCGTGGTTGAGTTATACGCTCAAGAAGGCAGGCAAAGTTGGTGGGGCGCGTCGCTCGCTTGTACGCGTCGCTCGCTTGTAAAGTACGTTACCATACGCCTTGTAGGTAGTAAGTAACGCGCTAACAGCTCCTCTATATACTTGACTAGATCTAATTCCTGTTAGTTGCTAAGTTTCTGTTAGTTCTTGTTAGCAACGCATTAGGGAGCCTGCACACCTCAGTGCGCACAGGACAATGTGTTGCAATTAATACTATGTTTTTCTGCAAGCTTTGTATATACAAGTTTGTTGCCTAGCTTTAGATTATTAATCTCTGCAAGCGCATCTAAAATTCCTGTCATAGTGGTTAAGTATTTACGCGTTAAAATCTACTGCAAATGTTGTGCCCTGATTGTTGGTTGACTCCGATCGTTGGGTGCACGGACACGGTAGCGTGCACGGCCTCGTTGTGCACCGCGGCGCGTAATGCACCAACATCAACATTGACGCGTACTTTGTACCCCCCTATAACTCAACACCACGATGCCGCTAGAAGAAGCCCTTGCAGAGCTAAATACTTTAGGCCCTACTAAAGACTTTTTGTACAGAAAGCTTACTAAAAAACACAATTATTGTCACATAATATTAATCTACAGGCATAAGGGCAAATACGCGTTACATAAAGCTAAGGCAGAACACTAGATAGTTCTCTACCTACGCAATAAAGTAGAGGTTATGTAGTAACGTAGTTCACAAGCGAGCGGTCCAACCCAAGCGAGCGGTCCATCCTAACTATAATAGCCTAATAACTACTTTACATTACAATGCTATCCTAACACAACGTGTAATTAACCTATACTAAAGGGACCTTACAGCTTGCTATCTAAGCTATAATTAAAGATTGTAACAAGAGTAAAAGATATGCTATTGCAGCCTTTAGCGTACCTTAAACTACTGTCTGCTAATAACGCTAAGGAGCCCTCTCTTAACACAATTGCGAGCCTAATTTAAAGAAGCTAAGTAAACTAGAGGAGGAGGCCCTTGAACAACGTATACTTGAGCTTGACACAAGAGGAATACCTGCTACAAAGGCTATGGTGCGAGATATAGCCAATGATCTGCTTGCTGAGCGCGGTAGAGAGCCTGTTGGCAAGCACTGGGTAGACAACTTCAAGACGCGTACGCCTGAGATCAAGCTTTGAAGGAGCCGTCCATATGATCGCCAGCAAGCCCTTAACAAAGATGCACGCGTTATAACGCCCTAGTTTGAGCTAGTTGCTAACACAAAGGCTAAGTACAGCATCACAGACAAAGATATGTACAACTTTAACAAGACAGGCTTTATAATAGGGGTTATCTATAGCTAGATAGTCTTTACAGGCTCTAAGAAGCGTAGCATAAAGAGCCTGCAGCTAGGGAACTATAGTTAGGTCACTAATATACAAGGAGTTAACGCCAAAGGATAGGCTATCCTACCCTTCCTTATCTTCCCTAGCAAGGTCCTTATTACCTTATAGTTTCACAATCTACCTTAGGATTAGGTAATTAAGGTTAGTCCTAATAGCTAGATGTTAAATAAGCTTAGTATTACCTAGCTAAAGCACTTCAATACCTATACAAAAGACTAGAAGGTAGGTGCACACAGGCTGCTAATTGTGGACGGCTATAAGAGCTACAGCTTACATGAATTCCACAAACACTGTAAGGAAGAGAAGATTATTGTTCTCTGTATGCCTGCTCACTCGTTGCACCTACTGTAGCTACTTGATGTAGGTTGCTTTTCGCCTTTAAAGCAGGCATATAGTGATAAGATTAGTAGCTTAGCACAGTACAGCTCTAAGTAGATTAAGAAGGAGGCTTTCCTACTAGCCTTTAAAGCAGCTTTTAAGAGGTTAATTACAAAGGAGAACATCTGTGCAGGCTTTAGAGGCGCTGGACTAGTTCCACACAACCTAGAGGCGGTGATATTAAAGCTTGATGTGGTCCTTTGTACGCTAACTCTACTAAAGCTAGAGTACACCCTATAGGAATTAAAAACTCTAAGCAACCTCTGTAAGATAGAGGCCTAGTTAACGCTAGTTTGTGAGCGTGTACAACTGCACAGAGATTCCCTAGTTTCTCCTCTGCTTAGAGCAGTTAAGCAGCTGAACAAGGGCATTACACAGATAGGGCATGATAGCGTGTTAATGCAACAGGAAATAGCAGGGCTTTGCAAGGCAGTAGAGATAGCAACAGAGGTTAGAGGTTGAAAGAGGAAGTATATTTAGGCAGTAGAGAGTCTTATAGTAGGTAAGGTAGCTAATTTAATAGCTAAAAGGGAGGGTAGTGGGCAGTAGGGGGGTGGAGAGCCTGCAAAGAAGGTGCGCACACAGACAGAGGCGTTGCAGACGTTGTGGAGTGACTAGCCACAACGCTCGCACCTGTGCAGTTGAAATTGTTAATGCATCTAATAGTGACAAGTCTAAATAGTATCTCTATCACCTGCAAATTGCAGTAAGTGGTGGTGGTGTTGCAGCATATGTATTGCAATCATCTTAACTCTGTTAGGTGGACCACTCGCTTGGGTTGGACCGCTCGCTTGTGAACTACGTTATATTAAATTGCTTACAGAGAGACACCTTATGCCTATAAGAAAGATTCTTGTTAGAATAATTAAGTTATTGTGCAAGTAGGAGCCCTCTAATTAATAGGTCACGCGCTTCCTTTATTGCTACCCTGACAACCTTCTCACAGCCTGGAGCGCGCCTATGGAAAAGCAGCGCCACAATGCTGCTTTATACAATTCCTTTTGCTCATACTTTAATCTGCTGCACAGTACTATTAAGCAGCATTCAATACAGCCAGAGAACACGTACAATATAGATGAGAAGGGATTCATGATTAGAGTAATAAGTAAGGGCGTTAGAATCTTTAATAAGCAGCTCTTTAGACTCTAGAAATACAAGCTAGCATCTTATAATAGCAATAGGAAGTAGGTAATAGTAGTAGGAGCAGTAGGAGCTAATAGTTTTACGTTGCTACCTACAGTTATTTATCCTTTATCGTCTCTCTAGATGCAAGAGAGCTAGGTACAGCGCGTTAAGGCTAAAAAACACAATATACACTTCAGTACCTTAGTAAATGGCTGGACGAACGATGCTCTTGGTGTTGCCTGGCTCAAGCAAGTGTTTGATCGCCATACAAGAGTGAGGGCGCGAGGGAAGTACAGACTCTTGATCCTTGATGGCCACGGCAGCCACGTCACGCAGGCCTTTATTGAATACGCTCATGCCAACAAGATTCTGCTACTTATATTCCCTCCGCATGCTACTAACGCGCTTCAGCCGCTTGATGTGGCGTGCTACAGGCCGTTGGCGCAGCACTACTCTGATGAGCTCCTTCATCGCGGCCACACCACTGAGGGGTGGGTACCTGTGGCTCAGGCTGACTTCTTCCCGCTTTTTTGGGCAGCGTGGAAGAAGACCTTCACTAAAGACCTTGTTGTACAGGCCTTCAAGTGCACTAGGATTCACCCACTAGATGCCAACGTCGTGCTCAAGAAGTTCAGAAACCCAACACCAAAGTCGCCCAGCACGACCCTAGAGCCTACTTAGCTTCAGCCTGCACTAGAATCACCTAGTTAGCGTAAGACGTTGCGGCTTCTTAAGCGTGCAAGAGAAGATAATATACCTAGTGCTGCTAAGGCAGTTAATTAAGCCCTTTACTAACTCTACGTGTGATTAGAGATCTTAGAGGCTAGGGTTAACAGCCTAGAAGAGGCTCTAAAGGCTAATAAGAATAAGAAGAGGAAGTAGAAGGTACTACCTTTGCAACCTATTAATAGTAATAAGGGTAGTAGTATAGTTCTCTAGAGTCCTTTACACATTAAGCGTGTAAAGCAAGAACTCTAGGCAAAAGAGGACCTTAAGCGCGCTGTAGAGGCAGCAAAAGCTACTAAGAAGGAGCTTTAACACTAGAAGAAGATTATTTAAGTAAAGGAGAAGGAGGATACGCATATAGAGCAAGAGAAGAAGAAGGTATTAACTACTAAGGCACAGGCTGTAAAGCGCACTTAAACTAAGGCTTGTAAAGAGGAGGTAAAGCGCAAGAGCAACGTAAAAAAAAGTACTTAATTACCTAAATAGGCTAACAGCAAGGCCTTATAGAAATCTTAGTTAAAAGTAATAATGTAGATTATCACCAAGCCGGCCATATCACCAAACCAGCCACTTTCTCTTAGCACGACCACCTTTTACCCTAACACAATATGCCTTAACAACAACAACTTCAGAATACTACTAGAGAAGGCAGAGTTATCCTTGCTATCTAGGCCTTCTATGCTAGCCAATTTCGCAGTATCTGCAGTGCTGCTAGAGTGTTAAACATACCTTATTAGCAGGTCTCTAATTGCCTTTACAATATCACGTTTTAACTAGACATACGCGCTAATTGCTAGAAACTTACTATACTAGAGGAGCAGACAATTGTCTAGTATATACTTAACCTTAATTCGCGAGGATTTGCGCCCTAGCTATGTGAGGTGGCAGATATAGCTAATAAGATACTTAGTGTGTGTGGTGAAGAGCCTGTTAGCAAACTATAGGCTAGCAGGCTTGCGACGCGTTTAGACAAGCTTAAAGTAGCCTTTAATTAAGCTAAGGATAGACAGAGGATACTATAGGAAGATCCTAAGATAATTAGCACGTAGTTTAAGCTAGTAGAGGATACTTAAGTTAAGTATAGTATTTGCAATAACAACGTGCATAACTT